CACAGAATTCCCTAGCCAGCCATGCTGGCTGAGGGATTTTTGGGGTTTAAGTCCACTCATCTTAAAGTGGCCAAGTTTGGACAACACTGGTTTAAGGCCAATTATAAATAGGCTGCCACTCCACATACTGAACCATAAACTAGCCAATCTCCTTGTAGTCTTGTGTGCTGTGCAGACCAGCTGGGAGGATTGATTATATCAGATGCCCCCCACCAATGAATTAATTAAATAAACCATGATATAAGGCTCCAGCTTACCTCATAATGCTATTACTGCACCATGGATTTCTGTTTTAATGACATTTGAATTGTATATCCCCTGTTCTTCTTTTTTCCCTGTTTTATTTTGAGTTGTTTCTGGAGAATGGGAAAGAATCACATTCCTATCCAGTAGAAGCACCCAGAGAAATAAGCTCCCTGTTAGTCTCCCACAAACCATGCCCCTCTTTCTTTTCTCCTCCAACTTTTCTGACATCCGCCCTTCAAGATTTACCTCTTGCTGACCCCCCCCCCCAGCCTCCTCTTCCTCACCAGTCCCAACGGTGTGGGAGAAGGAACAGAAGCTTTTCTTTCTCCCTCTTGGGGTGGGTGGGGGGGGTGCTTTGCCTTCTCTATGGCCTTGCACAGGCCATTTGGCCCCAGGCAGGCGCAGGCAGTTGCCTTCAAGGCCGAAGCGAAGGGGGCAGTCCTTGAATAGCCATTTCCTTCCTCCTCCTCCTCCCGAAAAAGAAAAAAAAAGAAAAAGAAAAAAGCATGCATTCTGCTGCTTGCTCGCAACAGCCGGCTGCTGGGACGCAAAGCTTGGACAAAGGTAAGCCACCGCCGCCTGTTGCATTTCCTGTAGAAAATGGGCGCGCGCTCCTTCCCCCTTGAGAAGGCAGCTACTTCCTTGGCGATCAATTCTTTCCAGCTTGCCTGCTGGGCGAGACAGAGGACAGAGTTGCGAGGGGTCGGAGAAGCAGCTCACTATATAGGACAGACTTGGGTTTTGCAGAGAGGATATTCTCCCCCGTAGGTGAACAGCATCTTTCTCTAGCTATGCTCCCCTCAAGTACCTCTTTCGAAGTTGCAGGATGCAGTTCATAAAAATGGAAAGCACGGAGGACGCTTCGGGCGCAGGCAGGGAGAGAGGATTTTAATTTGTGCCCAAAGGGATCTTTGGCTGCTGATGGGGCACAACATGAATTCTACCATTCGGTGGTACAGAGTCTAGACCCTTTTCTCCAAACTGTGTGTACCCCATCCCCTTCCAGGTGTTGAAGGGAAATAAACTGCGCATATCCAATTTCTGGGTGGATTTCGAAAGACAAAGCTGCATCACTGCAAATCATCAGCTGAAAAGAAAGAGCAAGAGAATGGTACCGATTCCGAGTTTGGGGTTATACAGTAATATGGGAATGAGGAATGGCCAAATGCAAATGCTACTAGATATTATCACACCCGAGTATAACTATAGTATATTCAGCCACAGTGGGTCGTATGGGGGAGTCCTAATCAGCGGAGGAAGAACTGATAGCTGCAAGAGCAACAGTTTACTTGTGAATCGAAAAGGGGGCTGGGGTGGGAAGCAACCTGCGGCAAAACTGGGACGGTGTAAGAGGGATTGGGGGAGCGGAGTAGGTTAAAGCAGAAGCGCTGCTGCGTTCAGGAAGACTTACTTCTTCCGACCGAGCACGTTTGAACTGAATCTCGAAAGGCCGGGTGTTCGTAAGCAGAATAGCATTCCGAAGCAAATCCGGACGCGTTGGCCGGGAACTGGTTTTTGCGTGGCAGGGCAAACGAGCCGAGCCCTGGATTGGTCTGGCAGGCTTGGAGAGCCGAGACCCGATAGCGCAAGCCCCTTCCCGAACGGGAGGAGGGAAAATCTGGGGATGCCTCTTTAGGGAGGTCGTGCGGAATTGAATGCACACGGCCTCCTCTCTTTCCGCAGATGCTCCAGTTGCAGGGCAGGGGTGGAGAAGGGAAGCTTCAGGCTAGATACCAGGAGCCCGTGATTCCCTTGCAGCACGTAAGAGAAAACTCTCGCAGCCTGCCCCGTTAGAAAGCAAGTCATCTCCCGGATCGCGGAGGCTGCGCGCGCGCCTCTCGGGGAAGAGGGGCTTGCGGGTCTCCCGGAATACAAATCTCCCCGGAGGAGGAAAAAGAAGGGGGCAGCCCCCCTCCGGCGCCTGTGCGCGGCACCTGTAGAGCACAAAACGATTGAGCCGGTCGTGTTCCCCCAACCTCCCTCCCCCCGGGAATTCTTGTGCTTGTGGCTCTCGCAAGGCGCTCCTTTTGCCACGCCCGGGTTGCAGGACGCCGCCGAGCTGCTGCCGTAGCGCCCGCCGCTGCTCATCATTCGGGAAGCGAAAGGAACGAAGTACGAGAGCGACTGGGACGTGCTAGACGGCTGGCGGTGCAACATGAGGCGAAGAGCGAGCGAGCAGCTGAGCCCCGCTGGGGGAAGTGCCGCGACTTGCCTTGGGATTTTGCTACAGTGAAAGGGGCGAACGGAGCGAGCCTCCCTCGGATCGTCATGGGAAGGAAAGGCTAGTCCTACATGCCTCGCGTGCGGTTTCTCCCAGAAGGCGTGCAACAAATGGCAGCCAGGTCTGTAATCCAGGCTGCAGTGGCGGCGGCGGCGGCGACTCCCAGGTGAGGCGCAAGACTCCGGTTCGCAAGCTGCAGCGGTCCATGCATGCCTGCTTGCCTGCGCCTCGCCTCGCCTCCCTTCTTCCTCCTTCTGAGTCACCCCGCAGCATCTGGTAAGGCGCTCGAACTCCCTGCCGTGCGTGGCTCGGGTGGGCTGATAGGGGAGTCAACTTCATGCCCGGGTGAGAATCTCCTCTTTTACCTTGGGTTTTGCACATTGCGCTTCAACCTTTGCTGGCCCTCAAAACGCGAAGGTCGAGAACGGGAATCGAATGCCCCGATGCAAGGGACAAATAATAATTATGAATCGATCCAAAACGGGGGAATGTCCCAAGAGGGACGTTGTGGTCGTGACCTTAAAATACGCAATTTAATGGCTCTGTGAAGGAGGCGTAGAGATTCGCCGCAAGTGGGAAATAACCGTGTGTGTATCTCGACTGGCTTTTCTGCATGGGGGCATAGAAATTCCATAGCCTTGAAAAGTGTGAAGAGGGAGGGGGATAAAAATATATTCTAGGAGCTGTTGAGACGTTTAGACAATAGGTACCCCAAATAAATTGCTTTAACTGATCCTGTATTTGCCTAACTTAGGAGGAGAGAGAATAGCTAGGTGTGTGAAAGAGAAGCATACAAGCTGTTGATATTTAAGTATACAAATAATAAAAGTCTATTTTTGAAACTGGAAGGTATTGAATGGAAAACTTGAGCTGAGTACAAATTCTGATGGTATTACAGCATTAGATGTTTTGTGGTCATTGAAAACAAGAATCTTGAAAGTTTTTTTTCTTTTTTAAGTAAGGTACCAAATACTTAAGATACTGTACTTAACTTTTCCTTATTTCTTTGGCCATTTCTTGACAAAAAATGACAGATGCAGATGAGTATGTGAGTTGGGAATCAAGAACGGACTAAATATTTATTTATTTGTGCCTTCAAATCAGTGTTGACTCCTGGTGACTTCCTGGACAAGCCTATACAGTTTTCTTGGCAACATTTTTGGAAGTGGTTTGCCCTTGCCTCCTTCCTAGGATTGAGAGTGACTGGCCAGCTGGCTTCATGCCTAAGGCAGGACTAGAACTCAGAATCTTCCCGTTTGGTTTCTAGGCTGGTGCTTTTAACCACTATATCAAACTGGTTATATGCTGGGATATCAATTGACTTTCTCCATCCTCTGTCATGTCTAAGACACATTATTATTTCTGTACTGGGTCTCCTAAAGTACCAGTCTGACTCAGAGTGGCAGAGCAATTTCAGGAGTGTTTGTGCCAACTCCTTGTCCTAAGTAATCCTTGTAGTAAGTGAAAGATAGTATTCAGGATCTTAAATTAACAATACAGGTGTCGAATTTCAGATCTATATTATTGAGATTTGCAGTTATTTTAAGAGATTTGGTTTATCTTCAAAATTTGGATTTAGTCCTCCTGATAATTAAAGTTGGTTCCTGCTTGACTTCCAACAGATTAAAAAAAATCATGTCCTGTTCTTATCTAAAGTTCTTTTGCTTTTAAATTGCTAAAAGCTCTACCATTCCAGAGGCATTTAATATTTTTAATGGTGGTGAACTGGGGGGTACGCTGGGGCTTTTTGAGCAGGACTTAGTATTGCAAAAGTAATAACTTAGCTTTTGAGACTAAGTTCCATTTTATATCTGAAGAAGAACATGATGGAAATAAATACTTATTGCAAGAAATAAAATTAATATATATTCACATAAGGAACTTGGATTCAATATGAAGCAATTCAGAAGTAGATGAGGCCGACATTCCAGACCCTGGTCTGTCCTTGGATCACTTTCTTTCTGTGCTTATCAGCATATGCTGAACCTAATAAGACCCTTCAATGCTGATGCCCCTGAAAAGCAAGACCATCTGTAACAAAATATTTATTTATATGATAAGAAATCCTGGGATCATAATCCATTAATTCACTTCATCTGCTAATTCGTTTACACATTCTAGGGACAAACTAAGGTAAAATGAATCTTGAAATCATTAAGTCAGAGTCTTATGATTTCTTGCTCTTTTCACCCAAGATAAGTGAACCTTTAAACCACAGCAGGGTCATTATCTCTGCAATACAATTGGGGGGGGGGGCAATGATTTGTTTCAGGCAAACACAATGATAATATGTGAATAACTTAAAATTATGAGCAAAGATATATTGCTAAAACATCCCATGCCAGGATTCTTGAATTAATACAGTACGGCATCTCCCCAGCTTTATTAGAATTTCATGAAAATGGAAGGTAAATGGAAGCCCCAAAAGTCACAATTTTAATAATTTCTCAGTCAAGGGTAGGAGATCATTCTGGAGATCATTAAATGTGATCATGTAGCCATTGGGTCTTAAAAAAAACCCTTTAACATAATTAAATATAACTATGGTTATTATATGTTATAGGAACTGTCATTGGCTTTGGTAGGACAAAGGAATATCTTGCTGTGCATTTCTCTATTGGTAAAAATGAAAGCACAATTAAGTCAACGTGAAACATTTCATTGGGAGAAATTTAGGCATATACTTAAAATCATATAGCAATTAAAGTGCTGTTCTGTACATACCTACTCAGAAGGGAACTCAATTTTTTTCAATAGAATGGAAACTCAGCAGTCTTAATCCTTAGTCTGATGGTCATTGTCTTTGTTAAATATCAGGATTTGGGTTCTGTTTATTTATTTGAAGCTATAATGTAGAAAGAAAGTGAAGACAAATTTCTTAGCATAATTTCTAGAGTTTTCCCAGTTTGGTGACCTCCAAATCAAGGGAATTAGAAATGCAGTCATCATCCTAATCACCATGGCCACTAGCTGAGTCTGAGGGTAATTCAACATACGTATGGTAAATACTCCTTCAGATATATTAATGATAACTTCAGATATATCTCTTTATTTAGACTTCAGAGTGCTTCTGAGCAGATCAAACCGTTCCATGCATTTCTGTGGGCTTGGGGAGAAATTGTGAATATTTTTTTTAAAAAGGCAGAGAGGAATATTTGGAGGAAAAGACAATTTCTTGAGTAGGTTGGATTCTTAGAATAGATACCTTGAAATTAAAAAGCTTAATCTACCTTGGCCTCATTGATTCCAATACTTTGACAGATAACTCTAAGCATGATTAATTCAGCATCCAACTTTGGCAGGTAATACAAAACCACATATGGCAATTTCCAAAAACATTGGA